CGTCAAAGTTATCATCAGGAACTGCTTCACTCCCACTTGGAGACTCTTCTATCTTCACACTGATTACCGTACTGACAAGGTCCTTTGATTTGCATGTACACCGCTGAGTCGAACAGTCTGTCTTTGCACTGGCATCAGACCATCTCGGGGAAATAGCCTGAGGAGCTGGCAGAACATCTGTGTTGACTGGTCTAAGCTCAGTATCTTTATCCCTATGAAACCCGTATCGTCATTGGGTCCAAGAAGACTTGTTTGGCGGCATGAACTTGAGCCATATACCCATGCCATCATGAGAACTCTGTGGATATTAACTTGTTTCAAGGCACCAGGGTGTTGGAGGAGCCTGTCGCTTTCGGCCGTATGCTTGCAAAAGAGATGCCATCAAGGGTGATTGATTTTTGGACAATGCACGGTACATACAAATCTGGCTTAATGTTGAAAAGGTTTCTTCATCAAGAGATCTTCTCTACAACACAGCGGCCGCAAAGCTTCAACAGTGTCTTCGGTGGCTCTTAGGAACGTCTTGAACCAAGTTGATATTTCCCAATGCGAGAAAATCTACCTGTGCTATCAGCCTTCCAGAAAAAGGCATGTGGAAGGCTGGCAGAACGCTTTCGCTTCTTCAACCCCAAGTGATTTCCACATAGGCTGTATTTGCACTTCACCTGATGCCATGCAGATAGATGTCTGGCACAGGCGGGTGATCATAATTTGCTATGACGAGCATGAGGACGTCAGTATCTGGAGAAGAAAACAAGTTCCAGAGCTCACACGAGTTTCATTGAGATGCACAGATGGCAGTGCAGACTACCGGCGTGTCCCTCGGCTTACTCATATGGTTGTTTGACTCAAAGTTGATGCTGCTGTTACTTCTTGTGTTGCACCTGGATGCCGTGAAGAGCTTGGATGAATCCTCTTTTGTTGTACTCCATGGCTCCTTTGCTTGCTAGGTACTCTTGCCAAGGTCATCCTTGGTTTGGTCATGAAGTAAGAATTGCTTCCAATAATGATGTGCTTGATTCTGTGTTTCATCAGTTATTTAGTACTGGACAGGATCCTGCCATGACGTCTTTTTCCCTTGTTGACCATTTAAGTGAATCAGGTTTATAGGTATCATCAAACACAAAGAATGACTTCATCAAATTCTCGTGTAAAGCTCATCAGTCGGTTATTGAAGCACTGACTTAGATCCTTTTACTTTCTCCACTGCAGGAAGTAACTGTGTCATCTTCTGAAGAATAAACCATACCTTCAACTACAGCAATCCTATACACTGCAGAGTCAATTTGGTCAAGATGAGGGGCCATTTCTGGATCACTGATCATATGACTTTGCCCAGTTCCTCAAAGGCAACTGATGAGTTTTGACTTGTCTGTAACATTGCAACAACATGCCATCCGGGAAAAAGAATGCTCTTGGTGTCAGTGTGAATTCATTGTGTTCCCTATAGCATGTTTCAGGTCAATATCGCGGCTTTTTGATCTGGCTAAAATGATCAGCCGTCCATACAAGTCCTTTGTTTCTTTCAGGTCCACAATCTTGTCTCGAAGTTTCACTGTTTGTTTTCTTGCTGTCAGACATGTAGAGATGGTTGTTTTCCTTCTTCACTGGAGTCCATAGGCTGACTTTTCCATTGATTCTTTCTGCCACATATTCGTCATACAACTTTAGCCCGGTCTCATCTATGTTGAGTATCTGAGAGACATACTGATCTTGAAATATATGCATGTGTTTATCAGATTCTGCAGCTTGTCCCCTTCAACGGTAAAGGATTCAATGACTCAGGATAGCATTCTTTGATTTTGTCAACTGCAATATGGTCCCGCTGGATAACACCTGGTGCAAGGTCATGATGCTCCTTCGACTTTAGCTGCTTCCAAAATCAAACTGACTTTTTGAACTCATTTGCTAAGCGTGACAACTCAGGTGCTGCCAGAAAAAAAAACGCTGTCTTGCATTTGCATTCCGTGATATGCCAACAAGACCAGAGTGTACCTTCATTAGTCTGTTCAGTTGTTCACATGCATGATCAGCTCCAATGGACACAAAGGGGATACCTTTCTTCGAAACTGATATATTTCCATTAGCAAGCTCATTCCATGTGTATGGATCTTTTGACCTCAGAGCATACATATCTGCTAAGTATCTGGGCCACAGTCTTTTGTATTTGATCCGATCCATTGCAAAAAAGAGTTTGCTCAGTTCTTCACCAGCCTCTAGATGCAACCTAAGATCTGCATTCCTTGATGCAGCTATGAAAATGAGAATGTCTTCAACACGGTGTAAGTAGTTCATCATTGACTTGAACATGGCATATAGCGTCAAATCAACACATTCTCATTTTATCGTCAGAATTGTACGATTTTAGAAGAAATGTCATTTGGATGAAGAAAAGGTTTTGCCGTTTCTATTTACAGATATGGAACATGGAACTACAATTACTTCAAGAAACAAGGCATCCCGGGGCCACAACCAACGTGTTGTATTGGAAACACTGGTCCGGTAGGTTTTATAAAACTGTGTTGTCCCTTTCTCCTTGTGTCGAGCCCTTGGTGTCATTATCCGCAATTTAATCAGCGTACAATCGAGTTTTCTTTTCACCTATACATCTTTGTCAAAGGTATTGGATCATGTTTGATGCATTCATGGTATTAGCAAAGTTTTCGAAAATGTTTTAGGGGGACATTTTTCGAGGATATGTTTACATTGAAATAGACGGAATAGTACAGTGGATTTCAACAATCTGAGAAACCCATCTCGGTTATGTATCTATCTATTTAACTAAAATTGTGTAATAAAGACGAACATGATTCGTTGATGCTTCAAAATGTGGACTGCCCTTCAAAAAGCTGACGGCTGGACAGAGGGGAACATTAAATACTGAAAACTGAACAGGCACTAACCTTGTTGACCAATTTACTGATGACCTTGTCAAGAGATGTGGCAATACAATAGACGCGCTTGTGTGGGGCCTAAATATTATTGAACCTAAATTAAAGTATTAGCTTCATGCTATTCTTATGCAGGTGATGACATGATTACATATATGAAATAGACCAAGGAAACTTATTCCACTACGTAGACGTGACTTTTGTCTTTTGAACAGGATATCAGGCTGTGGATCTATAATTAATAATGAAAATTGTGTGCATCTTTTCAAATGGTATATACGTCTAGCATCATGATGAATTTCCAAGTTTCAGGCAACGCAAAGAAAAGATGTGAGTGTTGCTAGTACAACCGTGATGCAATACAATGAGTTCAGCAGCCTGAATTCTGATACGTTTAGAGTCCTGCGAGTCCTTAGATTAGTTATCCTTCGTCATATTTTGACTTCTTTCCCGCATTTCCTCGGGTCAATACTTGATTTTCTTTTGTATATTCATTTCTCATGTTTGTGACCGTACCGAATGTTGGTCAGGAAACGCTCACCTTTCCTCAAATATCATCCCCGTTTTATTGTGTTTCATGAACCATCTAATGACATACTTGGAAATTGTAAAACGGACTCTGCGTAAAAAAAACCCCTCTGTTCTTTCAAAGTCAGTGTCGAAATCCAACAGATTTCCGGGATCTGATCCCATTTCACGCCTTTTTAGTTTGCAGTATACGTTTATATTCTTTTGACAATAATCTCCCCTTTTAATCTTTTTTCAACGTTCCCTTTTGGCTTCAAATTCAGCATTCGGTAAAACAGATGTTTCGAAGTAGGTCTTGAGATGTGTTGATATTCCTTTGACAATATTCTCTCCTGTTAGACTTGTTGTGGCAGATGAGGAAAGTGAAGAATATTTGAACATAAGATAAATATAATAATGTCAAGTTGAAGTATAACAGCAAAGTTCATTCACTTCATTTTATGCAGAATCTCGGACATGATCTGTACGCCTGGAGTAAGCGATATGGGACTGTTTTTGGGTATGTATGCATGTATGTATATTCAGTTATATCAAGCAAAGTTAGCCAAGCTCGTATCGCCGTCACACACAGACCAGATTATAGGAACTCGATGCGAAACCATTCTCGTTAGGTGTAAGAACGTGGCCGACAAGACAGTGACTTAACAACATATGAGTATTGGCTTTTCAAAATACATGTTTGCATCAGATTGTATTTGATTCTTTGAGATATGGAGTGTCTTGTGTTATTTAACCATCTATGACGTTTCTGTTGTGCAGAATCTTCCTTGGAAGGACTCCCGCCTATATTATTGCTGATCTGGAAATTCTGAAAGAGGTTATGGTCAAGAGTTTTGACAATTTCAGAAACCATAGGGTAAGCAATGCCGATTAAGGCCCCTGAAAGCAATAATGCAGGCTTTGTGACAATGCCATCCTTCTAACCTAAACACTAAACACATCGGCACATACTAGCTACTGCTTTTACTCTGAGTAACAGATGTCAGATGGTGGTTAATGATCAGAATAACTGTTATTTGAACTCTATTAATGAACCTAGGATTCGTGTGTATGTATCAAGTTTCACCATACAAATTAAATGAAACTTTATTTTGTCAACTGTAATCCTTACTTCTGTTTTCAGATATTGTCAGTACCCTACCCCTTAAATTTAGGTGTGGGTTTCATGGAAGACGCTGCGTGGAAGCGAGTGAGAAATACCGTCAGTCCTACCTTCACTGCTGTCAAACTGAGGCGGGTAAGTGACTCTTTTCATCTATATGCTGCATGAATGAATACACATTGAGTAGAATCAATATCGTTAGAACTTGATTTGCGTTTTCATATTTTGATATTGTTAAAATGAGACCTGAACCGAAAATTTACCACACAGTATGCAACTGTGTCTGTCATGAACTTCAGAAGTGAAATGACGAGGTGACAAAGATTTAACGTTGACTTCACGATGATTAATTTATGTAGAGAGGTGCATAGGCGTCTCTGTGTGTGACTTCTTGTACAGATGCCGACGTATATTGGTCTGTTAACGCCTGACCACTGAGACAACACACCGCAGTTTCATAAGGGTAATCCCCCGAGTCATATTAGTGACTTCGAGCTGACCAATATTTGTTACACTTCAGATGCGCTGTCCACTTGACCAAGGCTGTGGTTTGTAAAATCTTGACATAGTGCCACAATTTGTGACTACTACATATATTGCTGAAATTAGTTTGTTGTTGCTTTCTGTATTTAGATCTGTGGGGCCATCAACGATTGTGCAAGGACTCTTACAGCAAATTTCTCCAAAGTCATGCAGAAAAACGCTGGGGTCAATGTAAAAGCGTGAGTGATTTTATCCTAGTCAGGGATATGTGTTGTTTTCGTTACATTTTAATATAGATAGGTATAGTATTTCCATAAATTATTGAGAAAAATGTTTCGGCAAATATCTAATACATGTATTCATAATTATATAGAAGGTTTACTTAACTGAATATGTTGAGATACGATTCTCTTACAGTCTAAGCGTCTTTTCTGTATTTGTGAGACCTCCTTGCCATACAACCAATACACAACTGAATGCGCCGAGGTACAGTACCGATCAAAGTTTGAAGGAAATGATCGTGTGACAGCGTATCCCAATATTCGACCACTTCTTTCTTCATATCCTCAATATTTCTAAGTCCTGTTTGATTAATTTTGTTCTTCATTAGTCCCCACACATTCTCAATAGGGTTACGATCTGGGTTGCAGCTGGGCCAGTCTAAAACTTAAACATTTTCGTCCGACAACCACTGTTTTGTGTAGCCCGCAGTGTGTTTTGGGTCGTTATCATGCTGGAAAATCCAATTATCTTCATATAGTGTTCGGGCCTTTGGAAGGTGGTGATCATTTAAGATGTTAACATATCAAATTTCCAGTGAAAATACACAAAGGCGTCACTCCACGTGATGATATCCCACCCCACATGTGAAATTTCGGGCTATGTTTAGAGCAAATTTTCACACAGTTCGGAAAAAGGCAGACAAAAATTTCATCGGAAAAGAAAAAATTATCACGATCTTGATTTTCGTGAGCCCTACACCAGTTGAAACGTCTTTCTTTTTGTGCACCTTTCATCAATGGTGAGGGAATTCCGCGCTTTTTCACCCATTCTTGTCTAAGAGTTTCATTACATACCTGAGGACGTCCTCTATTAATCATCCCATTTCTGATATTCTCAACGCTTTTCAATTTTCCCCTACTCACAAAAAGTCGCCGGCGATCCGTAGTACTGGTCCCGGACTTCCTTGGCTGCCCTGCCACTGTCTTGTGCTCAGTCCCAACTCTTGACTGAATATTCTTCTGTTCTGTATACTGTAGACAGAAGAATGTCATGTCTACCAGATAACTCTTTTGCATTAGTCACAATCCTTTCAAAGTCATTTAGAACCAGCTTTCTTTTCTCTACATAACGTAACACCAATTTCAAAATTCTATTATTAGTATCAGGAAACAAAGATTTTCTCAATAACATCTGTGAATACTTTATATCACACAATTCTAATGATTATTCCTTGTGCGACTAAAACGAGATCTCTGCCATATTTTCAGTGTCTTAGTAAATAGTTCAATTGTTGAATCCCTAAATGGATCAAGGACAGTATGATACCAAATGCCAGAGATAAAATTCGGAAAAAATCTTGTAACATGCATGCCACACTCCTTCCGTCGTGAATCATTTTCATACGTAATCAGGTCCCTAACAAACTAATGATCATAATGTGACGCATCTGTTTGTTGTTTGACGGCGTTCTGTAAAAAATCGACTCTGAACTAGACAATCCAGTGACTGACAGATAAGAATTTGAAAAATGACTTTGGAATGATAAACCAGATTAGAGAAAACACTAGTTTACTGTTAAAAATGCAGTATTGTATATACGAATCAAAGTTCGAAATATTCTCTCTTAGATGCTTTGGAACTTTCTCTATGGATGTGATTTGCCAAGCTGCCTTCGGGATAAAGGTTGATTCGCAAACAGATTTCAACCACCCGTTTGTCGTTCATGCTATGAGCATGTTCCGACCAACAAAACTTGCATTGGCATTCTCAGTATTGTCAGGTAAGTGACGAGAAAACTGACTCAATATACCGGTTAAAGTAAATTTCGTTCATGCTGTAAATCTAGTAACAGTAGTGGCATGTATTGGTTTTGTGAGTATTGTTGGGGTTTTTTCTTTTCTTTTTTCCACATCTAGCAATAATCCTGAAATATTACAGTGGGGACACCAGAATTTGGTTTAACTTTTTACACGCATGTGGGAAATCAAATCCACACATTATGTCGGCATGAAGACACGCGTTAACCACCAAGCCATCCCAGTCCCCGCATTGTTATTTAAAGCCTGGCACCCGTGAAGAGCCACCTCCTCGTGGTGGGTGCTGGGTAACGCTAAGCGCTCTTCAACCGCTCGTTGTGGACCCGGGGGTATATTTGGTCCACCATCCCGTTTGCCATGGGTTGCGCCCCTGTGTCGGTTGAGGGCACTGGTTCCAGGAACAGCGTTCCTTTGCCCAACACACCACTTCGCCCCTTACTTCACCTAGACGGGTGGTAGAACTGCCCCGGTTCTATCAATCGGCTGGTCACGCCAAGCCCTGTGCTACAACTATATAATGTTGCACAAAATATGAAAATTATTAGATGATATTTTTCAGTCTTGGCAAATGTTTGAACTGAGAATTTCAACTACACAAATTCATGTATGTTTTTAGCCTAGAGTCGTATGCCCAGAAGGCGGTGGCTCATGGGCCAATATGGTGGAATCATTAATCTTTTAATTTTTCTGCTGGTGTATATCATCCGGGTATCCTTGGTGCTGCAAGTCGGAGATCCGTTTGTTTTTAGCATTGTCCTTGTGATACTCCGTGGTGGGTGGGGAGCTCAGATGACGAACCTTGAAAACTTAACCATGGCTTACGAAACCCCCTTCAAAAAAACAAAACGTCCACTGGACACTGATCCAGTTGATAATGATTAACGACTGTCCACGTCCATTGAATACTGGCCACGATTTCTTGTAATTGAAACTGTTGACAAGACACCATTAAAGTTTAACCCTTTTGCCATATCTAAGGGTATTCACGGCATTGCCGGTGAAGTTAAAAATATTAAACGTTTACGTTCTGGTGCTCTGCTGGTTGAGTGTGGAAAACGGCAACAAGCCACCAACCTTATGAGTACAAAAATCGTTTGTCGGCGTTCCAGTCACAGTCACAGCTCATAAAACATTAAACACAAGCAAAGGAATCATCAGAGACCGTGATCGATTGTTTGCAGATATGTCTCTGAGATGAAAGATCAAGGCGTACTCTATATAAAACGTTTCACAACCCGGAAAAATGATGCTGTTCTAAAATCCAATACCTACTTGTTTTCATTTTTTCACCAAATGCTCAAAAATCTCTTAAAGCAGGTTATTGTAACATAAATGCAGAAACGTACATTCCAAACCCTCTAAGGTGTTTAAAATGCCAAAAGTTCGGTCCTGGCGTCAATACTTGCACATTGTCTGTTGTATGTGCTCACTGTGGTGAGAAGAAGATTGTGACAGTAATGTAAAAAAATGTACAAACTGTGCAGGGATCATTCCTCTTTCTCTAAAAGCTGTCCTGTTTGGAAACATCAAATGGAGATAAATAAAATCAAATTAACCCAAAACATTAGTTTTGCAGATGCCAAAAAACTAGTTCAAAGCTTAGAGCATAAAGAGAGCTATGCTTCTATCACCAGAACACCGTCAGAAGCGACAACTAGAATAACAAAATCATCTGCATGCTGTCAGACAAACTTGACCTTCTGAATCTCCTCTGATATTCTCGTCTGCAATATCTACCCAAACAACAGAATCAGTTCCTAGTCCGTCTCAAAGCCAATGTGAAACATCCTTTGATCTTGACGCATCATCTCAGTCGACATCACAGTCTACACAGCCCCTTAAAGGCAAATGTAAGAAGCAAGATTCTTTGTAAAAACTCAGTGGCAGAGCCCCAAAAGGGTCAGAAAATCAAGTCAACTTATACAACAAATATGGATCCCTTGAGCACATGGACGTGTCCGAAACTGTCCGTTCTAGGGCGCACAGCTTGTCGGCCATCAAAAAAATTCGGGGAAGATCCCCAATAAATCCTCCCAAAAGATAGTTTATCACAATCATATTATACAGTGGAATTGTAGAGGACTGAGGACTAATTTTAGTGAATTACAACTTTTAGTTCAGGATTTAACACCATCAGCATTCTGTCTGCAGGAGACCTATTTAAAACAGACAGATGTTTTGGCCTACTTTCTTTCAATGCATATCATTGTTTTTCACCTCCGGTTGACAGGGTCACTGGAGGATCTTCCATCCTAGTTAAACAGAACGTTATCCATAGCCCTGTTGCACTTCCTACTAATCTTCAGGCTGTTGCAGTGCGACTAACTGTGCACGTTGCGTTTACATTATGCTCTCTCTATATATCTCCGTCTTCAACGTTTCACAAGCTTCAAGCTCTATATGACCAACTCCTGAAGCCCTGTATTATTATGGGAGATTTAAAGCGGCACAACCCACTCTGGGGTAGTACAACTACAAACGCTAAAGGTAAATTACTAGTTTTGTTCAGGTAATGATTTATGTCTTTATAATGATGGTTCAAACACATATTTACACCCTGGTACAGGAACCTATTCTGCTCTCGACTTGTCAATCACAAATTCAGAACAAACGATGACCTCTGTGGAAGTGACCATTTTCCTACTATACCAAAACCTGTAACTCCATCTGATGTACCTCCGTCATCAAGGCGGAATTTTAAGAAGGCTAACTGGGCTTTATATGAAACACTGTGTGCTACAAAACCGAAACCTGAACTTTCTATTGACGTCCCTGATGCTATCAACTGTTTTTCTGATGAACTGAATACCATAGCTGATGAATGTATACCACAGTGCTCTGCAAATCCACATATCCGTAAACCATGGTTCATGAGTGCAAACAAGTTAGGAAGGCAAGGAAAAAAGCAGAACATTATTTCCGTCGCCATCCTATGGTGCATAATTTAAATAAATTTAAAATGTTAAATGCTAAAGCGCGGCGTACCTTTAAACAGAATAAACGCCAATCTTGGCAAAATTATGTATCCAAAATAAATTCTCGAACGCCCATGTCCAAGGTATGGAACATGGTCCAGAAAATTAAAGGTAAAGGTACTAAATCTAGTGTCCATCATCTTAAACATGGAGATCAATTACATACCAATAAATCAGATATTGCGAATAAACTGGGTGAAACTCTCGCTAAACACTCTTCCTCTTCTAATTATGTGCCTAAATTCCAACAATATCAAAAACAAGAAGAAAAGAAAACTATTTCTTTCAATTCAGATAATGGGGAAGATTATAATGAAACATTTTCTATTCATGAACTCCATACTGCTCTTGAGCAAGCTCACGATACTGCTACAGGTGCTGATAAGATACATTATCAACTCCTGAAACACTTACCAGAATCATGTTTAGAGACGCTCTTACACATTTTTGATGATATTTGGACGTCAGGTAAATTTCCTTCCTCATGACGTGACGCTATAGTAGTACCAATACCTAAACCTGGACGTGATCATACGGATCCGTCCAATAATCGACCGATTTCACTAACAGGCTGTGTTTGCAAAACCATGGAAAGCAAGATAAATAATCGACTTGTTTAGTACTTGGAAACTAATAACCTTATAACAGATATACAATGTGGTTTCCATAAAAACAGAAGTACTGTCGATCACCTAGTGCGTTTGGAATCATTTGTTAAAAACGCTCTAATTAATAAACAAAACGCTTTGTCTATCTTTTTTTATCTTGAAAAGGCATGTGACACTACGTGGAAATATGGCATTTTAAGAAATTTTCATGGCTTTGGATTGCGAGGCCGTTTGCCTCAATTTATAGCTAACTTTTTAAATGACAGACAATTTCAAGTCAGATCATTACAATCAGGATCAGGGTGTCCCCCAAGGCAGTATTTTGTCTGTGTCTTTATTTCGTATCGAGATCAACAGTTTATCCAAGGATTTAAATGATTCAATCGATGGATCACTTTTTGTGGATGATTTTAATATTTCTTGTCGTCGTAAAAATATGCATACTATTGAACGGCAACTGCAGTTGTGTTTAAACAAGATAAATAAATGGTGTCTTGAGAACGGCTTTAAATTTTCTAAATCCAAAACTAATGGTATACATTTCTGCCGTAAATACAAACCGCATAAAGACCCTGAACTATCTCTAAATGGCACACCCATCAAAGTTGTGAAGGAGGCCAAGTTCTTGGGAATTATGTTTTACTCACACTTAACGTTTCTACCACATATTAAGTCCCTAACAACTAAATGCCTGAAGGCACTTTACTTGTTGGAAGTCGTTTCCAATTCTAAGTGGGGAGGGGATCAAGCTACCCTCCTACATCTATATCGATCACTGGTACGTTCCAAACTTGATTATGGTTCCTTCATTTATGGTAGAGCCTGCGAAAGCAACCTCAAACTATTAGATTCTGTCCACCACCAAGGTCTAAGACTTTGTCTTGGGTCCTTTCGAACTTCTCCTGTTGACAGTCTCTACGTCGAGGCCGATGAGCCATCTCTTACACAACGCCGTATAAACTTATCCTTGCAGTATGTAAAAAAACTATATTCTAATGAGTCAAATCCTGCATTTAACTGTGTTTTTAATCCTCTTTATGAGGATCTGTACAACAAAAAGCCTTCTCTTGTTCCGCCTCTTGGTTTGAGAATTAAACCATTCATTTCTGCTGCCGGCATTGAGCTGGAAAATATATCTCCTTCCCGTCTTCTTTCTTCTCCTACTTGGCAACTGGTGAGGCCTGAAGTTGATCTAACTCTGACAAAGTTCACGAAATCGGTAACTAATGAATTAAATATAAACAAGAATATAATCAGTTAAAAAATAAATATAATACATACAAATCCTTATTTACAGATGGATCCAAGGATGGTGGCGCGGTTGCTTGTGCCACTGTCATTGGATCCAGAACAATATCTTCTCGACTACCAAATAACAGCTCTATTTTCACAGCAGAAGCTAACGCCATATTAACAGCTCTTAAATATATTAATAAATTGGCATTTCTGAAAACACAATGGCTGATCTTGCTGCTAAGGCAGCACTCAACAAATCTGTGACACCACTTCTGATCCCATACTCTGATTACAAAGCTGCTATTAGATCTTATATCCGTGATCTGATGCAACAGAAGTGGGACAGCCAAGTAGGTATCAATAAATAACATGAAATAAAACCAACTATCGGTTACACTTACTTGAGTTGTCAGTCCAGATTTGAAGAGGTCATCATACGACGATGTCGTATTGGCCACACAAGATACACTCATGAGTACCTATTAAAAGGTGAGGATCCTCCGTTTTGTATCCCTTGTGATGAAAGAATCACGGTCCAGCATGTCCTGCTTGACTGTGTTGAATATTCCACCACAAGGGATATCTATTTCAAATCACAAACTATGAAGGATCTTTTTAGTAATATAAGTTCTCATTTAATTATTGCATTTTAAAAAGAATTAGACTTGTTAACTGATTTGTAAATAGATACATATTATATTATTGGTAGTTTAGATTAGTAACTGGGATTGTTAGTGGCTGTACCCTCAAAGGGGGCTGAAGTAGCGTAAAATTATTGTCCTCCTGAGAGGGTACGTAAGACCTGAAACATTCAAAGGAAATATACATTTACCAGCTGTTGTAAATGTAGTATTCTTGTCATTTTAATATTGGCTAAATTTGACTTCAATCACCAGCGGTTGAAGGGATCACATAAATCCAACTAGGGTTCATGCAGGTAGCTAAAGTACTGTAAGTCCCCATGGTTCCTAGTATGGTGATCTACCTTCAATTGTTGGCGATCTATAGCCACTTTTTATATTGTATTGTCCAAATAGTGCTATTAGTTTTAATTTTCCACACTAGTTTGAGTTGTAATTGTGATATTCTAGCTGTTTTACTGTCCTTCGTCGACAGGTTTTTATAATATACATCAATTCCATTTCAATGTCACATATGTTCTTGTCACGACATGGCTGAAATATTGCCGATGTGACGTTAAATAATAACTCACTATTTAAAGCCTGAAACAGATTATATTTCTGTTTGAAGCTGCTGTTCCAGCACTTGAACCAGTCTTCAATAAGCTCGGCTATGGAATCATTCCACGAAAATCCGTTGCCTTCTTTGCGACGATCACGGATGAAATGATGAAACAGCGTCGAAATGATAAAACACACCACCAAGAGGTTTGATTAAATCTAATTGCTTTTATCAGAGAGAGATACGCACATGAACATGCACGTCAATGAGCATGAGAGAGATGCATCTCCGTGTTATTAGAAGATGAGATGTATAATTGTCTGTTATGGGAACATATCAGATATCTCGCCTGTCATCTAACCATCAATTATGAAATATCGTATACTGAACCACGAAAGAAACGTCGCTTTGCAAAACCAAATGCAAAATTTTGTTCTTGCAAGGTGGTGTTTTTGTTATGTTTGTACCGTTTTCTTGACATGTTTTTCAATCCAAATTGACAGTTATTACCAACATCAGTGTGTTTTCTGATGAAAACGCATATCGACCAAACGCACCGAAAACGGCAGACATGGTAAAAGGTTCCGTATGACATTCGTGAAAATGAAAATGCACGTGCATTCGTGACAACCCTACCAATGAAAGCGGGTCCCAAGCTCGCCTGAAATCATTTTTGTTTTGACACAACCACCATGCCACGTCTTACGAGAGATCAGAGGAACCAAGTCGTGGGACGATTGCAAGTTGTCCAGACTGCACAGAGGGTAGCCAATGAGTTTAATGTTCATGTTAGGACAGCAGGAGTGGTATCAGGTCACTAAGAGCATTCAAGACCGTCAACGCAGTGGGCGACTTTCAGTAACATCAGAACGTCAAACATGACAGCATGGGCGCAACCATCTGCAGGATCGCTTCCCCAGAGCGACGGAAACAGCACGCCAGACCATTTCTGACTCAATACAGACACATCAGTGCCGATACAGTGCGTCGACGTTTGCGCGGAAGAAACTTCTGCTGTCACAGATCATATCGCAGTCCTGTCCTCACCGCTCATCACCGCCAAAGCCGACCAAAATGGCAACTCAGCATCGAAATTGAGGATATCGACAATGCAGAACTGTGCTGTTATCTCCTGATAGCCGATATTGTGTTTCGACAGTCGATGGCAGAGTGCGAGTATGGCGAGGGCGTGGTGAAATGTTTTCCAATGAGTGTATTGTTAAAAGAGACTCGTGAGGTGGTCCAAGCATCATAGTGTGGGGTGCAATCGGTCTGAAAAGTTAGCTGACACCGTGGTGTTCCAGAAGCTTGGTCCAGGATGAGGAAATGACATGACAATTGCTCGCTATATTGATTAAATCATAAGACCCCACGTTGTACCACATTTTGGACGTTACAGAAATCACATCTTCCAGCAAGACAACTGTCGTGCCCACACTGCCAGAGCATCATTGGACTTCCTAAGACAACGTGGCATCCACACCCTACAATAGCCTGCACTCAGTCCGAATTTAAAAGCAGTAGAACACCTTTGGGACGAGATTCAAAGAAGACTGAATGGCCTCCAACCAAGGCCGACAACTGCGCCAGGACTCGATCAGGCATTTCGCAGAGTATGGACCCAAGTGCCTATGGCCTTCATCAACCGGCTAATTCATTCCATGTACAGACGATGCAACGATTTCATCAATGCCCATAAAGGCCACACACGATACTGACTTTGGGGTATCTTAATGGTACCATTTTGGTGATTTGTTTGTGTGAAATCTAAATGTGATTCCCGAAAATGTGTTAACGATAACTGTCAAGTTTGAACTCAGTCCTCCTATTTGATTGTTAATTAGAGTGAATTAAAGCGTGTGCTTTAAGAAACCCCTATCAGTGCGACATTCTTTTGTGGTTCAGTATATATATTGTGTTTCGTGCGAGGGCAGTTACGAACATTAAGTTTTCAATAATAACACTAGGGAACAGACTTCCTGCAAATGATGATGGATGCTTCGATAGAAGAGGGGAAAGACGACAACAACGATGATGGTCAAACGGTCAAACATTCAGTCAGGCGTAAGTAGGGGAAAGAGCAGACCCCCGTTTATGAAAGCGCTGTTTTTCTTCTACTTGTTTGCGTTTCATTGTCACGACCATGCATTCACCCGGCAATTACCTTTTTTCGATTAGTCAGATGTATTTATTGTACGTAACGTCATCGGACTTTGTCGAGGAAGTTAGTTGTTTGCCCTCTCTATGTTTTACTGATGTTACAGGGTATACATTATTTTGCAAGCAAACAAAATGGAACACATAGACTATGTATATACTCAAGACAACTAGAAACCTGACACCACTTCATTGGTAACAATTAGGAGGGGGTCAATTTATTTTAGGTTCCTGTTCTGGCATGACATGGTGGGTGTTTCAGCGTGGTCTTGGTGACCGATATTATGGATTGGAAGCATTTTGTTCCAATGGTCGATTGACACGAGATTGTCCAATCATGCTACCAAAGAGTATTTGTTGTGACTCCTTCTGCTTGTATATGGTCCTGTACTGACATTTTAATATGACAACGCCACGTCCAGTACTACAGTTCTGACGTTATATATTAGTTTACTTACATAAATATATATAATAATGCATTATTTTATTATAACTATGCTGTCATCTACTTTTCATCGTCCGTGTTGTTACCTGACGACAACAGTATGACCCACAGATATTTTCATAAGAATGCACAACTGCTTCTGACGTAACTTTTGTCTCCTGAAAAGTTTTTAATTGAGTGGAGTATATGTACTTCAGAAAATTAAAAACACTAAAGTTGCAAATTTACAATCATGTGTGTCTAGAATGACATATCCAGGATAATTATAGAACGAAAGTGATGTGACAGATGCTCATTAGACTAGTGTCAAATCCACATTTTACAGGTAGTACGAGTAACAAAAGTTTCAACTTACAGATCTATCGACGGATGAAATAGTTGCTCAGTGCATACTGTTTTTTGTCGCTGGTTACGAAACTACTGGGACCGCCCTTACCTTCATATCTTACAACCTGGCGAAGAACCCGGATGTACAAGAGAAGGCTTACAATGAAGTCAAAGAAATATTGGGAAATGTCAGTATCAAAAAGTACAAGTTGTCTTTGGGTAAAGGTGGACTGACAATTTCTATCTGATGTTTTCAGCCTCGTCTATGATATTTGTTGTCTTCGTCCATAGTTGGGACTGTTTCATTTACTAACATTATATAATAAGGAGTCGCATAAGTATTACAGCTATTTATGTTTTATTGTGCTTCTAAAATATAATATACCCCATAGCAATGTGACACAGTAGTTCGGAAATGACTTGTTTGATATTATTCTCACTCTGTAACTTCCCCTGCCCTCCTTCTAACTCTAACGTTATAATCACTCTTCCAAATACGGGGGTGTCACCCGTGTGTTTGTCTGCCTCCAGGAGGAACCAAACTATGACAACATTGGGAAACTGAAGTATCTGGACAACGTGATCTCAGAGACGCTCAGACTCTACCCGCCGGGCTATGTGTAAGTGACACATGTTTAACAATAGGGATATAAAGGCAATATAGTCTAATCTAGTATTGTTTATAGCATAAGGCTACTCGTGTTTGTGTGTGTCGTTGTACCACGGCTGATCAGATCTTTGATCACAATACCGGACATGTCCTGGATCGATTATTACATAGTATTAGTCATATATAGCTGGATGGTTGCGTTCCAACAACAAACAAACATTAGTATATCACCCTACTATCAGAACTTACATACACCGAACTCACAGGCCTTGTAAGCAAAGCAGTATTTATTCTACGTATCTTCCCACCATAATATAACTGAATGCTAATCCCAGCTCAGCCATTCACTGACATAGCATGAAAAGTAGGTACCAACTGTAATGAACAGTAAGATCTTGAAACTTACCGAGTACCTGATGATCTCAAATTATATTTGCAAGGAACCTGGTACAGTTTAGCATGTTAAGCTTCGATGCATAACAACTAAATCACATTAACAACTTCTTGCCTTTCCCTAAGCTGATCCAAAAGTATTCTTCGTTTAAGATTGGACCGATGTGTTTCTGAGACCACTCAAATCAAAGGCCTAACTTTCTCTAAGGGTCGAACTATCTTAATTCCTGTGATGGCTATACACAGAAATCCTCAGCTCTACGACGATCCTGATTCCTTCAAGCCAGAAAGGTACGGGCTGATATAGTGATATTCTAGCTGGTGATTTTAAAACATGCAAAAGAATCAATTCCCGAAAATATTGTTAACAAACATAACTGATTCCGGAAACTGCTGTTACAAAAAATAACCCAGCCACAGAATGTCAGATTTGTCGGCTTCCATTCAAGTCAGTTTTTTTCCCGTGTCGCATTTTGTTTCGCATAGTTGGGACCCTGAGTAGGTCAGAAACATGATTCGAGTATTATTCGACAATCGCCAGAACCATAGAGCTATATTCGTGGCAGTAACAAGAAGTAAAAAGTAAACATCCTACAGTTTTCGGTAAAGTAAGTTTTGACTTTATTGTTAACTGCATCACAGTAGCGTACATGTGTTCTTAGCGTTGCCTTGAACATGATAGACTCAAATATTATAATCGAGTAATTGCAAGAAACTACACTTCAGGTTTGAAGATCAAGACAAAACTATTGCCTTCCAAGCTTTCGGATTTGGCCCCAGGGCCTGCATTGGGATGCGGCTAGCTCTTGTTGAGCTTAAAGTAGCCTTGGTCAATGTTCTGAGGGCCGTGAAGTTTGATAATACGCCCGACACACCGGTAGGATTATTCCATTATATAATTTTACAACCATACATGTGTCATCTTTCTATAAGACGTTCGAATGTTCCAATGTTTGAATAAAGATATAGAACATCAGTGGAAAATCAGTCTGTAAACAAACCAGACACAAAACTGAGCAATGGAATGGAAAATTCACTTAAATAATTTGGAAATATGACTACGGTGTATGAGTGCAAACAATCCTATGCTTATATGCCTTAACGTTTGGAAAATAGATTTGATTTACAACAATCAGAAGGTTCTTCATTGACCATTGCGTTCTTGTTTAGACCATAGACAAAAACCACGTACTCCCATTCATGTTACAACTGCATATATACAAATGTCTTGGCTTGTTTACAGGAAGTATTGATGTTTGCACAGAATCCAAACTTTCTTCAAACAGACAAGGACATCATCCTGAAAGTGTCTCCAAGATGTTGAAAACGGCGACAATGCAACGGCAGTTCCAAGAATGTATGTGAGAATATGTCTCTAAATTGTGTACACACCAATAATTATATATGCTTTGCCACTTTAAATCAGTGGGCATCGAAAATTGAATGTCTCCCATCTTGAATTGTTATAATTTTCTATCATACGAGAAACATTGCACTTCCCTGATGAAGTGTTTTCAGAGTGAATGAAACACTTACAATATTTCCATGCTAAAATTGCAATTGTGGCACATCTGTATTGCTTTTAAATCTTGTTCTCCTCACAGCAAATCCAAAGTGCTGTTAGACACTCAGTCTGTAAGACACTCTGAGCTGAGAATATGTCTCCAAATTGTGTACAAACCAATGATTATATATATATGTTTTACCACTTTAAATCAGTGGGCATCGAAAACTGATTGTCTTCCACCTTGAATTCTTATAATAATCAAACGAGAAGCGTTGCACTTTTGGCACATCTGTATTGCTTGTAAATGACGCTCACAAAATGAAAATCATATTCAGGGACAATCATGTATTGGGACCCTCGACTATTGTTTGTTGGGTTTTTTACCTAACTTTTGGGCGCAATTTGTACAATTTCGACTCGTCTGCCCATGTCCCCGGTATGAGCCAATGCCCGCATTCAAATGTATATATTTCAAATACTTTCCTGCTTCTGCATAATACTGCAATTTCTACATCTCATTATAACTTCTGAATAAACTTTACCATTAGTTACTGTAATAATACATGCCAGGAATAGTAAAGGCTATATTTCATTTTTTCAGCAATGGAGACTTGGGGAGTAATGTCCAGATATTTTTGTGTCTAACCTACAGTCGACGCAGTTTTGAAATTGAGTCTACATGCGACCAAAGACCAAACGAAACAAATCTTTCTCAATTTATATATGTCCTAAACTATATGTAAACATAAAAAAAATTGCACTCAAAGCATCGGATAATTCCGAAACGAACATGAGTCTACCGCTGACAGGTAACATGTACTGTAGATATATAATTGTACCTAAATGTTTGGGCTGTTGTTATGCGAATGCAATGAACATATTCTGACTGTTTAAACAGGCTTCTGTACATGTGGTGTAATAGCTGCAAGCATCAAGTATTCATTTACGCTGAATAAACATAACAATCAAGGCAATGTCACTTTTGTGCTGTGATCCAAACAATTGGTATATAAAAACACATACATTAGTTGTGAGAAGTAAAATACCAAAAACATAGTTTTGATAGCTGAAGCGAGACAATCGGGACGCACATGAAATAGAATTAAATGACGAATGTACGTTGCACAAGGAATCACTCAACTATTGGAAACGTGAAATACATTTTGGCGATATAAGGAGTTTGAGAGAGAGAGAGAACTCTATCTGTGTAAAAACCTCAGAAACACAACTATCGTAATATCACAATTATGATAAAAATCAGAGCTGACAAACCTGACCAGCGAGGTTAGTTTGAAGGTGTTTACATTATGTGAGTGCCTTTGCGCTGGTTCTTCTTAGTTTTGAAAATTCACTTGCTCTGAATAATCTTAGTCTCGCTCAAGAGCAGGAAATGCAATGTATCCATACGAAACGTCAGCACACGGTCAAGCTGTCTCCATTTAACAACAGATGGTCAAGCTGACACGTCCCCATTTCGCAACAAGTTGAACAACTGATGGTTTTTCTTCCGCATAATAGGAGTCTTTTACTCATTTAGTCGACATGGAGATATCGGGGCTTTTGGACGTGCCGCTGTATCTCCTTCTGTGTTTGGCGGCCACAGTGTTGATCTACATGTGAGTAAGGAACTTTGTTTGTGGAAAACAGTTAGCACCGTCGCAGCATATCTAGGAGGCTTCATTGTGTAACAAGTTATATTTAAATACAATTTGACATGATATTGTCGAAACAATACTATTTAAGAAATGAAATGAATCCATTTTGTAAAATAAACCAGTGATGATCCACATCGTAATGGTACCGTGATCAATTGTAACAAACCTTTGGACTAAAGACAGTGTTTGCAAGGCACGTCGTCTTCCTGTGACTGTCGACGTGTAGACATTAAGCAGACATTTTTTGTGACTGAAATGTGGTAAAATATTTTGTATGAACGGCTTTGTTGAGAAATAGTGAGTGAGTGAGTTAAGTTTTACGCCGCGCTCAGCAATTTTCCAGCTATGTGGCGGCGGTCTGTAAACAATCGAGTCTGGACCAGACAATCCAGCGATCAACAGCATGAGCATCGATCTGCGCAATTGGGAACCGATGACATGTGTCAACCAAGTCAGCGAGCCTGACCACCCGATCCCGTTAGTCGCCTCTAAAACAAGCAAAGTCGCCTTTTGTGGCAAGCATGGGTTGCTGAAGACCTATTCTACCCCGGATCTTCACGGGTCATGTTGAGAAATACACACCTGTTAATTAACGTGCACATCATGAAAAGCTAATTATCAAAATTTGGTATTTTGACAATTTGACTCCGTTTGACGCTCTCAGCAGTATTCAATAATCGACCCTGAGCGATTCACTTCAGTAACTAGGAGATCACAGTTTGAGAAATCTTTAGAATAATAACAAACCAGATAAGCGAAAACATCAACTTATACTACTTAATATTACACTACTTAATTTTGTTAAAGGACCAGTTCTTCGATCTTCAAATAGTCTTCGTCACATTTTGTGCATCCTTTGAACTCATGGGTGAGTGAGTGAGTAATTGTTGCTTTAAGACGCATCAACAATGTTGCAGCTATTCGCTGCTACCTTTGAAATATCCAAGGTGAACGGAACGTTATGATTAACCCTTATCCCACCAAGTGGGTCATTGGAGTATTCAATGTATTCCTTAAAATTACAATACTGATTGCTGTAAAAAACATTCAATTTAATTATTTTGAAATATTTACCATTAATTTTAAAAAGCAAATATTATTGCATTAACTGCTTTGCCGGGCCTCTAAGGCCCGGTCACCCCTCTTAGCTTCCAGTCAACGCCACTTGATAAAGCTTCCTTATGAATACATTGCATAGTAACTGCCAGTCAAAGATGAATCGTCGAACAAGAGGAACACCTTTTATGAAGAGACAAATTCTTTACTGCAGTGGATGCGACGTTTCTGTGTAGAACCTAACACTGTTATCAAGCAAATGATACACAACACATGCACAAGGAGAAATATATACATGAAGGGTATTTGGGTTTATATGTACGAGTCTCGACATTTGCATTGAATGTAGTAGACAACGCCTGAGGGATCTTCTTTGTTGCTTGTAGCTGTTTTACTGTTGGCTTGTAGGATATGCTGAATTGATGTTCCTCTCTGGAACACAACATCTGTGATGGCTTGCTTCTTTAGTAATCTGCGGATAATGTGGCTGGTTGTACCAACATATGGTATGCTGGTGATGAACGGGGATGATTGTTGACGTGGTGGTTTGTCTTTTGGTTTGATGGTTCTGTTGACTAGATTAGCTGGGTACTGATTAAGGTTTATGAAGACATGGCGAAGGTGTTCTAACTCGACTTCAAGGCCTTGGGTTGTGGAGCTGATGTTCTTTGCTCTTCTGGCTAGGGTGGCGATTATAGATCTCTTGACTTGCAGTGGGTGATTAGATGAGAATTGAAGATATTGGTCTGTGCGGGTTGGTTTCCTATAGACACTTGTTTGGAGTTAGTTGTTGTCTTTTTCTACTTGGACGTCGAATTTCATGCGTGGATTTTGGGCATTAAGGTGTTTGAGAAGGCAGATGGGATCACATCGGTGGGGTGACTATGACAAAAGTAACGTCTTCTTTCCGGAACCAGCATATTAGTGTGACGGGTAAGGTCAAAGGGTCTTGTCTTCGGGTTCTGTCATGTAGTATTCGGTGATGATGGGGAGAGAGGTGACCCCATAGGTAGACCATGGGTCTGTTGGTAGATTTTATCAGACCAGGTGAAGTATGTTGAACTTATATAGGAATGGATGAGGCGGATGATGCTTTCTACTGTGAGATGGGTGTTTAGGTTTAGCGCGGATGTCTTCAACTTTTCTTCTAATGATGGCTAGGGCTTCATCTCTTGGTACATTGGTGAATAGATCAACCACATCATAACTCATTATTTTGCCTGGCTGATGCCTGATGATGCTTTGATCTTGTTGCAGAATTCGTTGGAGTGCGAGATAAAGGATTTAGCTAATTTACCTAGAGGGGCGAGAAGGCGGGCGAGATGCTTGGTGGTATTGTAATGGACTGTGTTTCTGGTACAGACTAGGAGATGGGCTTTGATGGGGTCTTTGTGGACCTTGATGGTGGCTCAGGCATAGGGTGGTCTAGGATAGGGAACTGTGAGCTGTTTGTGTAGAGTCGGACCTATCTCGTTTTGTCCCTAAGTTCTTACGGGATGGTTTTGTGGTCTCGTTGAAGCAAGGTGGTGGGGTCTTTCTGTGTCGTCTACTTTCCGGAAACATCATATTGGTGTGACGGGTGAGGTGAGGAGGGCCTTGTCTTCGAGTTCTGTCATGTAGATCTCGCTGATGATGGGGGAGAGATGTGATCCCATAGGTAGGCCATGGGATAAGAGAACTCTTAGAGGCAATCAACATCAAACGGCTCAACCCGACAATCAACAGAGATCAACGTTATTACATCCCTACAGCTTACGATCAACTAATCAAGAATAACCCACCCTTTGTCTACTGGCTTCAATCATTTCTTATCACAACAAGCCTCATGTCAACACACATCAACCTCTTCTATTGTATAAACCCAAATACCCGTCATGTATATATTTCTCCTTGTGCAGAAGCTGTGCATCATTTGCTAGATAACGGTGTTAGGATCTACACCGAAACGTCGCATCCACTGCAATAAAGAAGTTGTCTATCCATAAAAAGTGTTCCTCTTCATCATACCAGCTTCTAAATGCCACTTAAGGAAGTTTGAGAAGCAATTTTCGCGATGTTTTGCTCCAACCTGCTGCTGCAGATGATGATGGTAGTGGTGCTGATGCAGTACCTTCTGACAGTGGATCAGATTCTGAGTTCGAACCTCCCTTTGAAGAAAGTGTTAGTGACAGCAGTGACTGTTCTAATAGTGAAGAAGAACGTAATATCCTGTCAGGTCCTTTGATATAAATCAAAAGGGGGTGACCGGGCCTCACAGGCCCACTTGGCGGTAATGGATATGAAGAAAGCTTGGTTGGGATAAGGGTTAACAACATGTTTTCTATATTTATAGGAACAGACTTCCACCAGAGCTGATGATGGATGCTTCAATCGAGGGAAAAGATGACAACGCTAATGATCAAACGGTCAAACATTCAGTCAGGCGCTAGTAGGCACTTTTATGTATGGACAAGCCTGGAAGGTATGGAGTTTCGCACTGGGGTGCGTCACAAAGGTTTGGGAACATTTCATTCCAGTGGTTGAGGTTGACTCAATTTCTTGTCGTCCGGGACAGATTACCACTATACGGTATTGGACGGGAATGGGACTCCATTGCTTCTGCCGGTCATTCTTCTGTCATTTTAAGAGCGACAAAGATACCTTCTGACGTCATCGCATTATTACTAATAAAATATGCTGCCATCTACTTTTCATCGTTTCTATGGTTGCATGGTAATCAGCATGACTACGCATCTATTTTTCGTAACTATGCACACCATTGTGCAATGAGAGATGTATGATATTCATACAACGTAGGTGATGGCAGCAGATGTTCATTAGACTTGTATGGGATTCATTTTGTTGTGCACAAAAATACAATGTTGAAAAGGAATGACGTAAGTTTCAACTTACAGATCTATCGAGGGATGAAGTAATTGCTCAGTCCATAACGTTTTTATCGCTGGTTACGAAACTACTGGCATCCACCGCCCACCTTCATATCTCACTGCCTGGCCATGAACCCGAGATGTACAGAGAAGGTACAATGAAATCAAAGAAATGTTGGGAAATGTCAGTATCAATATGGCTACCGGTGCCTTTGATTTAAGGTGTACAGTCATTTTCTATCTGTTGTTTTCAGTCTCGTTTATGGAGTTTACATTTGGTCTTTGTAGTAGTTTCGATAATTTATTGATCAACTGTTTCATTGACTGACATTATGAAATATAGAGAACATTTCTATTACAACTCAAACGTTGCAAATTACTCATCCATATACTGGA